GTCAATGTATTGCATGTTCAGCAATATATGTACAGATGGGGTGTACCACTGGGAGAGGGGTGCGATGGAACAGTCTAACTGATAATAGCTTTTATTTCCCGGTTAACTAGAAAGCCACAACTTTTCAACTATAAATCACACTGTCATACACATACACTGTCAGATTTCATCAGTATTTTAACATTGATCCAACATTTATATAGCACTGAGATTTCAATCTTGACTATAATGATAATGTGGATGAAAACTCTGCATCAGTTTAATGTCATCTTACTATCTGGGGCATTTTATCTACCTCACATCTATACCAATTTAGAATCACCAGATCTCCCCTGTGCTTTGAACCTCACTGTGTATTTAGTGCAACAGAGAGCTTGGATAACTTCCAGCTCTATTGCAAATTGCAAAATCACGCCACCTTTCCTAAGCAGTGGTTCCACTGCACATTCAGACTGACAGTTTCCACCGTGTCCACCTTGCTTTACCCGTCCAAATGGATGAACTCATAACCACTGCTACATTATCAAGTGGAGTTATACCGTACACATTTAGTACGGTACCGTACTAAAGATATCACTAAAAGACCTTTAATCTCTTCACTGTTTACCCTTCCAGATCTCTCTTTAACTTGGAAAGTCATATATTGTATTTCTGACAATAAACTGTACTGTTAAAAAATTCAACTGTGAACATGTGAGCCATTATATAGATATAAGTGTGCAGATGTCTATACATGCATCTTTTACAGTGAAAGAGTGAGCCTGTGGTTTCTGTTTGAATATTTCACCCATGACCAGTGTGTTTGCTTAAACTCCAGTTTAAACACCATCACACCCTACCAGTGAAAAAGCAAACATTACCAACTTGTAAACACAGTTAAGTCATTTAATTTGTGGGTGATATAAAGTCGACATAAAAAAAAAACTATTAAAAAACAACAACAAAAAAAAACAAACATGCTGATCAAAATATTCCATTAATGTTTTTATCACAGTTTTGTTTTCATAAGCCTACACATTACATTTTATTCACTGCTTACACAAAGTGCAAATTAGACAGCCTTTCTACTGCCTCTAGTGCCAAGTTTAAAGTCCTTGATTAGGATATTAAATTAGGATTAATGACCGATTGATCCTAATCTTCCAAATCATGTCAAGCAGAGCTCTTGGACGTCGCTGAAACTTCACGATCATGGCTACGGACAGTGTGAGATTATAGCTGAGGACTGGATTATCACTGCTAATCCAATTACACATGGTGTGCTGTAATCGGCTGTGAAACTACTGTAAGTAAAGATGACCATTTGGAGACTGAATTAAAAATTTTGAACATGCACTCGTACCAAATAAATAAATAGGAAAGCTGTGGCTGTACCTAGAAATTGTTTCCAAGTTTAAACACCTACTGGCATAATAATTGATGTGTGGTTTGTAACGCCCAAATCTCTGTCGATACTTGACTATCTCTAGTGACATCGGACCATTTAATGGTCAAGCAACCGGAAATAGAAAAACTCACAACCGATGACGATTTGACTCCACCTCATGATACCATTTAGCAACAGATGAGCAGCGCTTCATGTTCATTTTGTCGGGCCAGAGTGAAGCACACCCGCTGCCGTGGTTTCCTGAGGGAATACTTCACTGTGTAAATGTTTGTCGGGGTTGCG